CAAAAAAAAAAAATAAGAACAAAATTCGCTGTTCACTATTCCATAGTGGAATACCATTCATATGATGCGGGTCGCCAGCATGCAATCTCTATATCATCATCTGATCATCCTCTTGAGCTTGATCTCCCTCGTCTGGTGTGACGAGCTCGACGACTACGGCTACACCGTAGAACAGTACGATGATACGTGGGAAGTCCACCGCAACAGCCAGCGCCTCGACACGTTTCTCATAGACAAAACCCGCGGGCGCATCATCATCGAAGAAGCCTATAACGCGTGGTACGACTCGCGGCCGAGACTCAAGCTGCGCGACATTATGGTCTTCATTTGGGTCCGGGCCGGCATGTCTCTGTCGGAGCTCACCTCGCTTCAAATTAGGGAGGTGTCGAACCAGGGCACGATAGATGCCATTAAGGATGCTCGGATATCCACTGGGATCAAAGCGCCAACCGACTTCACGGTGGAAGAGAACGGCACTGGCTGGAGCGATTTGGCCAAGGCAGAGTTTTACTACACAATGAGCAAGATGTGTACTGACTGGCAATCGTTAAATTCGAAGAGGGTCAGCAAAATGACAGTGCTGAGTAAGGATGGGCGGCTGGATGATTTCATCTTGTACATTTCGTGATGTAACAACAGGAGGAGGAATAGTCTTTGGCAACCAACTATGGGGATAGTAGTCAGAAGTAAAGTTGCAAATTGGGAGTACCAACACCACGTGAGGTATTTGCCTAACTTTCTGGTACCTGAGCCTTTGAGAACGCTCTCATGGCGCGGCACCATCAAGCCCAACATAAAGCTTGTACCCAAACAACTCAGTAGGATCGTTGAACCTTGCCTTCTGATCCATCTTTGCGATCTTTTGCAGGTCCTCTTTGTCTAGGGGAATAGAGTCTGCCTCTAGATTCTCCTTGATCTGCCACTCGATTGTGCTCTTCGGGATGACACAGCGACCATTCCCTACGCCCCATGCCAACGCAATCTGAATCGGTGACTTCCCGTGTTTCTGAGCAATCGCCTGAAGGATCGGGTGACCAATCAAGCGAGCCATTTGTGCCACATCCTTGGTCCAGGACACGTCCCGATAGAAGTGTTGAGATTGCCGCTCGGGCTGAACTGCATAATCTTGATTCCCTTGCTTTCTTGCCAGTCGACGAAGTCCTTTTGTTGTAGATAGGGATGAAGCTCCGTTTGGTGAATAGCCGGAACCTATGAGATAACGAGTCAGATCGTGGAGATGCTGGACGTGATGATATCCCGTTAATCAGGCGGGAGGATGGACTTTCGTTGACTTACGATGCTACAATCCTTCAAGATCCGCTCCAATTCTAGCTGATTGAAGTTGGATACACCAATGGCTTTGACTTTACCCGTTGGCAGCAATTTCTCCATGGCCTTCCATGTGTCGACATAATCAGCTGAGCCAGGAATGATCTTCCCATCAGGTCTCATGGGCATGAGGTCGGGGCCACGCTTGAACGCACAGGGGTAATGCATGAGATATAGATCAACGTAGTCGACGCCCAAGTCCCTCAAGGAATCGTCCAAGGCAGGCTCGACGTCATCCGGATGGTGAGAGTTGCACCAGAGCTTGGTTGTGATAAAGACCTCGTCGCGACTAACTCCGCTCCGTCTAATGCCTCGCCCAACTTGTTCTTCGGTGCCATAGCTGAGAGGCAAGAGGGATCAATTTCCGTTCTAGAGTATAGAATAATGACCGAAGCAAAAGAACCTACTTGTGCGCTGTGTCGATATGGCGATAACCGTTCTTCAGAGCAGTGTATACAGACATTTCCTGCTCGTCAGGGTCCTGGAAAGTCCCAAGACCAATGGAAGGCAAGATCTGGCCTGTGTTCAAGGTAACAGTCCTGCCCTTGTAGCGCGCCATGCCGGTAGCTGTTGCCATTGCTCGGAAGTTAAGGACATGAGTATGGTTTGTGAATGGGATTGGCCTCCGCTGTGGGGTGGTAGGTTTGATAAGTTTAGAAATCGGTCTAGCCCATCGATGGGGGTTGGAAAGGGCCGAGTTCATTGTTGGGTGTTGTTGGGGATTACCTTCAACGGTTTTTTTTTGGGTGCTGAAAGTTTGCCATAGATCGAGCGCTTTCGTCTAAGTTGGTGCTCTGGGCAACGTGAGAAATAATGGCACAATAAATCATTAGTGGTTTGGTACTTCGACCCTGCAATACTGCTAATCGAAAGAGCGAGAGCGCGATACTTTGCGAGGAAAGAGACGACCATTTCCAAATGGAGCAATTTTGGGACGACGCCCATTGACACGACAGCATCCACATTGAAGTCACAGATGGACGCGTACACCAAGAACCGAAAATGGAAGGCTTCTGCACCAAAGGAAATCCTCATTTCGTCTTCAATTTCATGAGTTAATATTTCCTCATTCAGTCTTGTGATTGTGGCGGAGGAAGTTGGAAGAGTCTTGGAACACGTCGCTAGCTACAGCCGACGATGCTATTTCAAGGAACGCCGCTGTCATGTTACCCCAACTAGGACCTTTCTGGTAAATGAAGATACAACTGAAACCCAGAAATGTTCCTCTCCATGGATACCTAGGTATTTGGTCTACTTGCTTAGGACCTCAACATCGTCGGTTCGACGTTTTGCATTATGCCGCAGCACGCACGAATCTCTCTCGCGCCTCTCTTCGCTACATTGTCAATTTCACCTACAGTCTTTGAAAGCTAAGCGGAAAAATGTCGAAGTCTCTCAACCCTATGAATGGAGGCGACTTCATTCACGACGATGAACGGAAGTTAGACGGTGGCTCTGTATTGTCCAGGCTCTCCCTGATCAACAAGACAGCCATTATCACTGGTGCAGGTGGTGGGATCGGATACTCTGTCGCCGTTGCGTATGCAGAAATGGGATGCAACATTGCCATATGGTACCACACAAACCAAGACGCGCCGAAAAGGGCAAAAGAGCTTTCTGAGAAGTACCGAGTCAAATGTGAGTCGATAGGTTTGTGTCTAGAGCGAATGATCCTCCCTCTTTTGAACCCTACCTACACAGAAACGAGAACATTGATCTGACCTCGCATGTTAGGTAAGGCATATCAAGTTGATGTCAGGTCGTGGGACGCCGTGGAGAGGGCCACCGACCAAGCCGTCAGAGATCTGAACGGTCGGCTCGACATCTTCGTTGCCAACTCCGGAGTCCCGTGGACCGAAGGCCCCATGATTGATGCCCCCCTCGAGCAACATAAAGATGTCATCCAAACGGACCTCGACGGTGTTTACTACTGCGCCAAAGCTGCCGCAAAGCACTGGCGACGCCAGAAGCTGGAAGAGACCGATGTTATTGGAAAGCCATTGAGCAACTTCAATCGTGGAAGCTTCATTGCGACGGCTTCTGTTAGTGGTGTGCTGGCAAATGTCCCGCAGTTCCAGGCCTGTTACAATGCAGCCAAGGCGGGCGTCATTCACCTTTGCAAGAGCCTTGCTGCAGAGTGGGCGATGTTTGCGAGAGCGAACTCGGTGTCGCCGGGGTACATCATCACCGACATCACCACTTTCGTGCCCCAGGACGTCAAGGAATTGTGGAAGGACAAGATTCCTATGGGGTAAGTTGATTCTACCTCATTGCTAGTTTCAAATACTGATGAGATCGCCAGGCGGCAGGGAGAGGCGCACGAACTTCAGGGTGCTTTCTTGTACTTTGCCTCTGACTTGTCAACTTACACATCTGGGGAAACTCTTGTGGTGGATGGGGGTTATCACGCTGTCTAACGCAAATCCCTGACGGCCACCAAAGGCATCTATCTCATTGTATTGAACTCATACAGCTGGAGGTATGTACTGAACAGGATCCTGCTAGGAATCCCACTCCTTCAAACCCAGCGCTAGCATTAGTTTAGCACACTTGATTATACAGTCCGTTACGTTAATAGCGTCCACCCCCCCTTTTTACTAAAATTACGTACGCATAATCCCTATATATATATAAAAATTTACCTAATACTATATAAATACTTATAGTATAGTAATTAACCTATTTTAATAGTTTTAATTAATCTATTCCTATTAAATCTTATTATCTAAAGGTATTATAATACCTCCTAAATATTATTATATAGCTTAATAGGTAAATAATAACCTATCTAAGTATTATCTATTACTTATTACTAATAGTATATAGAAATAATAATATATATAATAACTAATATAGGATATTACTAGAGATCCTCTTTAATACTCTATTTTATTATTAATTAAGATTATTATACTTATTAAGAGAGCTTATTAAGTTATTATTACTAAAGAAGCTATTAAAGAGGCTATTACTAAGGTTATTATTATTAAAACTAAACCTAAAATTAATAATTTAGTAGCTCTTAAGTCTATATTATAAAAAAAGTATATATTTATAGTACCTCTATTATTATAAAGAGCTCTAAAAATATCCTCTTATTAAAAAGTAATAATAATATAGAGGAAGTAAAAAAAGGATCTATTATATATAATTTAGCTTTAAAGTACTTTATTTTTATTAATATTATTATTTTAACTAAACTTAACTCTAATTAACTTAATTTCTTATTAAACTACTTAATTTATAAATAATATACTTATAGCTTTTTACTANTTACTATAATATTAATAATATATTTATATTATTCTATAATATATTTAAAGAAGAGGATAATATAGGTAATAAGGAACTAACTTTATTATAAATCTAAGTTATTTATAGCTTAATACTTAAGGGTAATAGTTTATTTATTCTTAATTTAACTATTAAGAGTATTATATATAATAGATTTAGTATTACTAATATATTAGATATAAATAGTANAAAGACTAAGAAGTAAATAATAATACTTAATTTAAAATAGAAGTAACTTATTTATATATTCTAAAGAAAATTAATATTACTATTATTATTACTTAGAGGAAACTTATTAGTATATCTAAATTAATATTAATCTTTATTTAGGTCTATCTATTTACTAGAGGGGTTATTTAACTAAGTATTCTATAGGTTAATATTATTCCCTCTCTTAAATAAACTAAAAAGAGGAGTAAAATCTACTTTACTATTAAGTAGTAATATAATACTATATTAATCTCTAGTAGTATAATAACTAATATATAAATACTTTAAAAAAGTAACTAAATAAGTATTTTAATTAATATATAAGAAGTAATTAATTATAAACTTAATAATCCTATAAATATTAAGTATTAGAAAGAAGGTATATATAAATAACTTCTCTATATATATATATTTACTTAGAATACTAGAAATATAAGAATAGTTTAAGTAATAAGAAGTTTAATTAATATTATATATTAAGTTAGAAGTACTATAAAATTAAATCTTATTATATAGAGAAGTAAGTAAAAGCTCTTATAACTAGATAAACTAATATTATTAATNAGAACTACTTAAAGAACTACTTAGTAAGATTCTTTATAATTAGTTTATAGAGGATTAGAAATACTAAAATAAGAGAAATAAAAATATTATTAAAGTTAATAATAATTAAGAGATAATAGTAATAATAGAAGAGAAAGTTAAAAATACTATACTTTTATTATTAAAGTTAAGATCTAACCTAACTAATACTAATANAGTAATACTATTATTAATATATATAGTAATATAGGGGTATTAAATTATTATTTTTAATATCCTAACTTATATATATAGCTACTACTACTAGTATTAATATTAATAGTATATTAGCTATATATAAATATCTTATAGTATTTATTACTAACTCTTTTACTATTAAACCTTCTAAGTACTTATTAANACTAAGTATTATATTCCTAATTTATTTATCCTTATTAGTAATATTAGATTTACTCTAAAAAGCTTTAAATTAAGTAGCTAGTTTTATTAAGTAATTTATATCTATTTATAGTAAGTAATATAATATTAATAAAAAGTTTAAAAAGAAGCTATAGAAATTATAATTAGTAAATAGTAACTTATAAATAGTTTATAAATTATTAAATATTTAGTTTACTAAATATAGTTTTATTTAAGATCTTATTAAAGATATTAAGAACTTAATTAAATCCTTTATAGATAATAATACCTACTATAGAAAGTAGTTTAATATTATCTCTAATATAATATCTTATTCTAAACTTTATTTAAACTATTAAAAATTAGAGGGAGATATTTATATAAGAATATATACTAAATTACTAAGAGGGATAATAGTAATANGAGGGAGATATTTATATAAGAATATATACTAGATTACTAAGAGGGATAATAGTAGTACTAGTTAAAAACTCTATAGTATTAGTTTTAAGTAAGTTAAGGTTATCTTAATATATTAATACCTTAATACTATATTAATCTATTAAATAAGAGATCTATAGTATACTAATTAAAATTAGTTAATATAGTAAGTATATATAGAGCTATTTACTATTAAATATAGCTAACTTTATAAGTATTTTAGAACTCTTTAGTTTTATTTTATTA